CAGGTGGGGTTGAACCCTAGACCTTCTCCTGGTAACCTATGGAGCACTACCACTGTGCTATGGACCCATAGGTCTTATTTAAAAATATTTGTAAACTTAATTATATCCAGTATATTTTATTTATATTTACAATAGATACAATAGTAAAAAAAAAACAATTTTTATAATTAACAATTAAATAGAATATATGCAGTATAATGAAATGATATGCTGCATTTAAAAAATAAAATAAAATATTTTTACAATTTCTGCATTTGTTATATTTATAATAATTGTTATTTGATAAGTTAAATACAATACATTGTATATACAATGTAGTAATTTATAAAATATAAAATCATTGAATAATATTCTACAGATTAATTGATTTGGATTGATTGTAATTGAACAAAAAGTTTATTAACTTAAAAAAAAATCAAATTTGTATTCAACTATGTTCATATGAGTAACAAAACGGTTGGGTCGGAGATTATGTTCACTTCTTCTTTACGACTAAGCAATTATAAGAAAGGGGAGAGATTTCTTAGTCCCAATAGTATTATGTGGCACAAAATGCACAAATACTTTTGAAGACAGATACCTTGAATAACATCTTCGTCTTCTATAACATGGGATAACCCAACTCTTTGAGGATTGTGTTTGGTGGAAACACCCTAGAAGATCATAAAGAAGTCCAATAACATCTGAAATATATGGGTGCATATAAAGGTGATGATGTTAAACTTACCCAAACAAGAGCATACCGGAATTCCTCAGACAGGGATCGATGAATCGCATGACACTACGGATGAGTAGATTGCCGCGTGAAAAAAAAATTTACAAGTTTCTCGGAAGGCAAAAGCTTTTGTACTTACCACATGCTCTACGGTGGAATTTTTTCTGACAATGAGACCACCGTCAAAATCTGGAAATTCTAAGTGAAAAGTAAATGAGAAGAGATAGATTAATACACGTACAATCGGCCCAAACGTTCTAAACAAGAAGAGAAATTACCTCCTCTCTTCTTGGTATAAACCCTTAGCAGGTTAAGGTGTTTCCATATTTGTTCAACTAGGTAGTCCAAATTTAGGTCCAATTCACAACTGGAAAATATGTTTAAAATATAGCATATTCATTCAATTATTGTTGACTTGACATCTCTCATAATTCATATGAAAATCAAAAGTAAAAAAAGACCTGATAACAATGGTATTGGGTTCATGTGCCAAACGATCCAATTCTTCCATGACGATTGAGTCGATCTTGTTGTAACACTAAAGCCAACAAATGGTTAAACAAAGATAGGCAGAAAGGAGAATCCACTATAAAGATAAAATTGACATACGTACATATACACATTTTATATATTTACGATTTCCTAATACTACATCAATAAATTCGTCGACGGTAATATCCTGTCGTACTAATACTTCAGCATTGAAAATCTCTATTCGTAGATTGAAAAGAGGTCAAAGGTAATATAATCAAGTCATAATTCGCTTCCCATATCTCTTGAAAGTGGTATTGGATACTGTAGTCGTGTAGAATATGATAAACCATTTTTTCGTTCAGATAAGTCAACTTGACGGTGGAATTAAAGCTGATCCCGCCGCCCTTTTTCACCTAAGAGAAAACGAGACTCGTTATTCCATTGTCTCCGGCAATTTGCAAGATTCCGCACGGGTATTAACTACGATATTACTTTGAAGTAGACATTTGGTTTTTCGGTATTCAGCCTGATCCCAACAGCTTCCAGTTCACGTTCCAGCAGTGGCCTACGGTAACCAAATCGAATCACGTATTAGTGACGATTTCGAAAACAAAGTAAGGAGCCGGCGAAGATAAAAGAACCCAGATCAATACCGCTGTTGATCGCTTTTAGTAGCATCCAACATCATCAGAATCAAGTCAGCAGTTCTTGCTACAGCGATCACTTGCCTTCCTCGCCCTTTACCTATTCACAACAAACAACGGGGCTCGATCTCAGAAATATCATTCGGTTGAATGGTTGTTCCACGATAACGGAATTTACCTTGAGCCGCTCCCTCAATGATACCGGGCAAATCCAATAATTGAATATTTGCGCCATTATACTCGATCTTTCCAGGTATACACGTTAAAGTAGTGAATTCGTACGCGCCAGCTTCAGAATGGGTTTTTGTAAGCTTGTTCAATAAGGTGGATTTACCAACTGAAGGAAACCCGATTAATGCAACTCGGGCATCCCCAGATTTCATAACATCAAATCCATCACCCTGATTTTTACAAAAGAATTATTTCAACATACACCAAGTCGACAATCCTCATCAATAAAAATTAGAGTTAGAAAAGAAATCGAAACTATTATTACCTTTGCTCCACCAGACTTCGAAGGCTCTAGAAGCTGTACACGGTATTTTGCTAATTTCGCTTTTAGCAGTCCCAGGTGATATTCGGTGGCTAGAAAGAAATTACGGTATTCCAATCACTATTAATACAAATCGTCATGTTTTAAACACAAACTCGTTCACTATCGATATAGACCTTTATTCTTTTGTGTTCGGGATATTTCTTTTTCAATTTCCGTAATTTTCTCGAGAATTCCCATTTTTTTTTCTCGGAAGACGAATAGATCCAATAATTTTCAGTTTCACGTAAAATCCTAAAATAGTAATATATGCAGTAATCAGGATCAACACGTATGTATCGTAAAAATGAATTGGATCGAGGACATATTGGTTTCTCGAAGCAGTACAAAATTTATACACGATGGCAGAATGGAAAGACCGCGAACGTCCTGACACAATCGTGTTATTTGATGTCGATGGTACTTTGACCCCCGCTCGAAGGGTGAGTTCTGTCATAATCTCGGACAAGGGAATTTTATACCGTTTCTCAAATATTTTTATATGTAGCCCGTAACCAAAGAAGTTTTGGAAGCACTTAAAGAGCTGAGGAAGAAAGTGGTGATTGGTTTTGTCGGTGGTTCCGATCTCAGTAAACAGAAGGAACAGCTTGGCGCCGGGGGTACTTTGGGTTCTCAGGGTCATTCACTTTACACTTGTTAAATACAAAGCATTAAGTTTGCTCGTTTCATTTGCTTACAATTAGTCATTGATGACTTTGATTTTGTATTTCCGGAAAACGGGCTTGCGGCTTATCGACTTGGAAAACAATTGGCTTCTCAAGTTTGTTTTTTATTTTTTAAATTTTTGATTTTTAATCCTCAGCAAGAATCGAAAATTCTTTCATCCAATAGAGTTTCATCGGATGGATTGGAGAAGAGAAGTACGCAAAATTAGTGAATTTCATTCTCAAGTATATAGCGGATCTTGAAATTCCCAGGAAACGGTGTGTACAGTTTAAGAATTTGATTCCTCACGCGACGTAACATTAGATGAGTGACCTTTCGAATTCCCAATGAGCCCAGTGGAACTTTTATAGAATTCCGAAATGGAATGATAAACGTATCACCGATTGGACGCAATTGCAGGTAGTTTCATTGTGTCGAAGAAAATAAATATTCATCACCGAGTCACTAACAAAAGGTGAATCATGTCATTTAGTCTTCAAGAACGTGATGAATACGAGGCCTATGATAAGGTATAAGGAGGTCATTTATTTTAATGAAGGAGTTACAGCCGGACGCGTCATGTTTGATCTCATAATATTACCAATTCTATTTGATAGGTTCATCATATTCGAGAGAAATTCGTGGAGGTCTTGAGAGAGAATTTCCCTGATTATTCTCTCACGTACTCAATCGGTATGTGTTGAATAGATCTCAAATTATAATAATACGAATAATAAATAATTTTTACATTAACTTTCACAGGTGGGCAGATATCTTTTGACGTGTTTCCCACAGGTCTGTATAAAAAATTATTATGGTCGAAAATTTTGTTCGCATTACAGCACCCTGAAAATTTTCTTATTTATTTCTAGGCTGGGATAAAACATACTGTCTCACTCACTTAGAAGTCGAAGGGTTCAAGGAAATTCACTTTTTCGGCGACAAGACTTACAAGGTCTGAAATATATCTTTGATCATTCATACCGCAGTTGTGACATACTTATAAGTCTTCTTTTCTTTTCTTTTTTTTTCATAGGGAGGTAACGACTATGAAATCTATAGACATCCGTCGGTCACAGGACATTCTGTTACTAGTCCTGATGACACAATTAGAATTTTAAAAGAAATTTTCGGAATCTAATATATTTATGAAAATAATTCAAATTTCGTATTCTAATGAAAAAACCTAATAAAGAAGTAATTTATCGGGTGATATAGAAAGATTATATGACATCAAATTTATCCCGTTGTCTAGAAGTCAATGGTTTCTTTCCTTTCCTCTTCCTATAGGTATCGTGAATAAATTCATAAAAATATTTGAAATACCATAAGATGTTATCATACCTCCCGTCATAACCATAGGATAACGCTCCTTCTTTGGATGCAATCTCTTTTGGTATTTCATAAGTCTCGTAGTATTCTTTCAAAAAGTAATATAATGCTTCTACAGTAGCTAGATGTGATTCATCCTCTCGTTGATACCTCCAGAATAAGGTTTTCTGTGGTTTGATGGTAACTTTTCGAAACTTTATTAATTCGGGATTATATTTCGCCATGCTTGAGGCTTGTCGCCAGGTACCGTCAACTATCAAAAGTTTATCAAACGAAGACCGAGGAATTTCTTGCAATGTTTTAGAATCCTATTTTTTAATAAAAATATATAAAAAGAAAAAAAGTTTCAGAAAGAACTCATAACCGATGTGATGCTGAACAACTCGTGTAGTTAATGATCTAACCGGTCCGGGAAAAAGTAATAAGATGCGGTCATAACTTTCAAATTTTGGCATTCGAAAATACGAATAGATCTCGACATCATCGGGCGCTATTATCTTTGCATGAGCCACCGTTGACTTGCCATCTTTCTCCTTATCGTGTTTAATCCTTTTTAATTGAGGAGACTGAAATTAAAAAACGACACAAGAATCCCGTAAACTTGAGCTGACTTCGATGATAATAAAATTTAAAGCCCACACATCAACTTTAATCGGCAGCTTCGCTCTAGGAATTTCACTACTATCACAACCGACTGGTACGAAGCAGCAATAGCAATAGAATTTCACTGATTTTCTACAGATTGGACATTTTTGTCTTTTACCGATTGCCTCAAGCGGTTTGGTGGAAGAGATCTTTAACTTATCAAAGGGCGAAAAAGGCTTTGAGGAGTCAGACGGTGAATCGGCGGTTGGATCTGTGGAACATGGTCCCTTTTTATCCAATTGTGTGTTAAGGATGGAGTTTGTAGAAGGATCAATTTCAATATGGTTTACCTTTTCGGTTGTCATTGTGACGACGAAGAATTTAGTAGTACCTAGCCATCGTGAAGGCAAATGTATCATGTGATCACATCCAATGGTGTTAAACCATAAAAATCTCGTATTTAACAATTTACAAATTTACAATAATTTTTTATCGTAAAAATTTTATTAACAAATTACCGATTTTATTTAATTCAAATTTATGATTTGCTTGATGCATACCTATTTGTAAAATGTAATTCGAAAACAAGATTACAATTCCTCTTTAAGGAACTATATGACACGTCTAGATGACGTACTGCTTAAGCTACGTTAATAAAAAAGCTTTGACGCATCAATATCGTACGTATCACTGTCTTTTTGCAATAATAACATTAGAAAATTCAAAATGGTAAATCTCAACCTTCTTTTGCATTAAACTTTTCCAAAGCATGGACAAAAAAAACAAACCTGATTTATTTCTCGTATATTGCAGTTTGGCGATTATGAAGATTTCGATCGAGTCCTAGACTTTGGCCTGCCGTTGCATCAGAACCCGAATCGAAGATTTTCGGAGACATATAGTTGTTATTCCGTGGCCTTCTTACCGGGAAATGAAAGAGAAAACGTCAACTTTGGGGGAAAAAGTAGCTAGCTCTGATTATTCTGATTATTCTGACAACTGCTAAATGATTTCAAGTAATTCTTGGGAAAAATTGACCTGTTGTAATCTTCACTTTTGTTAACGCAAAACAGTTATTCTGCCTCCTTCTGCTTTGGCCAAATTAGGTATTTTGAATTTCGCTTTAATAATCAACACATTAAAGTATCCAACCCTTACCGATCTATTTCTTTTCAATCATGCAGCCAGTCTGAACATAGAATATCCTATGTTGTTTGAACTCAATAATGCCAATAAACAAATCCGCTCTCATGCTGGGGTTCTCGAATTTATTGCAGAAGAAGGTCGCGTTTATTTACCTCATTGGGTAATGATGGGTCGATTTATTAATCCTATTTTTGGGGGCGATACAAAAATTTACAAAGTTGTCATAACAACTTCATATTCATTTGGAAAATTAGATGATGCAAACACTATCACTGGAACAAGGCGATCATATCGATATAAAAAATGCCACATTGCCTTTAGGAACTTTTGTCAAGATTCAACCGCAGGCTGTAGACTTTTTGGATATCAGTGATCCGAAGGCCGTGTAAATGCATTTTAAGTTGAACCCGTGTGTCAACCTATACGCGATATTAATCTATTTCACAAATAATGGGATGTAGGCTTGAGAAAGCTTTTCGAAACTTTACAACTTTGACGCAAGGCGACATTATCCAAATCAATTATAACAACAAAATATACGAAATTCTGGTGTTGGAAGTGAAACCCTCGGGCAACAATGTTGACGGAATTTCTATTGTGGAAACTGATTTGGAGGTACTGCTTTTTAAAAAAAATTAACAGTTATTCCAGGAATTTATTGGAGATGGTTGGTTATTAATTTTTTAAATACAAGTAGGTTGATTTTGCACCACCGGTAGGATACGTCGAGCCGGCCCCTCCACCAAAAGATACCATGGTAATTTTTTTTAACTGATTACTGGCCTGAAATCTTGGATTTGTATGGAAACATATTTACACATATCATTCATGTTCAAAGGCTGACAAGATCAAGATAGATGAACCTTCCATGAAATCCGATCGTTGGCTCGCTTTCCAGGGTGCCGGAAACAAACTTAATGGAAAATCAGTGAAATCATCTTCTGCCAATGCTAGGTTCAATTAATTAATTAATGACAAGGTTTGGTTCTTTTTCCTAATAGAGACATATGATGATTTATATATATTTGATTCTTTCCACATTGTAGTAATCCCAATTCAGATAAACAAGATCCGGATGCAACGAAAGATGTCCCAGCACCGTTGAACCTGCCATTTGGAAAATTATTTTTTGGGTATAAAGTTGTACCTTTGGGCGAAAAAAAAAAGGGTGTCGAAAGTGATGTGAGTATTAATTGAAGTTTGTTCTCTGAAAAAAATTTATGGTACGTCTCCTAATGAGTTATTATATTTAGAACAAAACTTTCTCTGGAGAAGGACAGGTTTTACGCCCTTCAAGATTAAACGCAAGTCGAACTGCATCCCCAACACCATCGACTTCAGCATCTGCATCCGCTGAATCCTCAAATTCAAATGATAAACGAAATAATGAAACTTTCGGTGGCAAAGGTAAAGCATTAAATATTGTTAAAATCATGAACATGACTGTACTCATAAGGATAATTAAATTTGTAGGTTATTCACTAAAATAAAATCACTGGAAAGACGCGATTTGTTGTAGAAATTTGACAATAATAATAGTCGTGTTAATTATTGCAATGTGCATGTCAATATAATGCCTACAAAATAAAAGATTATCATTAATCTCGAATCTATTGGTTTTCAATCTTGCCTGAATTTAACAGTATTCTTGTTATATTATATTATAAACATAAGTAAAAAATTGAGACATGTAGAATACAATTTATCAATGAATTCGAAGCAAGCAATACAGTATTATGCTGTGAAATTATATTTGATATTAATAAAGATTAACAAATATGATTAATGAAATTAGATAATCAAAACTTAATAATTTTTGATAAATCTATAATAATTTTGACTACAGTAAGTAATTATTTCAATAATTCCAGTTATGTTTATTATTCTTTTCAATTTTTGTTATATTTTCAATAAATAAATATATAACAAATAGAATTTACATTTCAATAGTTAGAATTTCAAACCAATATTGAAATGGTATTAAAATGATATTGACTATAATAAATTTAATATATAGATTGTTATTTACTATATTAAACTTATAATAAATTCAATATCAACTTGATATCAAAATAGCATTATTAGAAATCTTATCAATATATAATTATAAATTTTTTACAAGTTTTTTTATTTTATTTTGATTTTTTATAAACTCTTAGTAAAATTCAATTCTTTATTTTTTGATAATAAGTATGTAATCTTGCAATTACAATTAATTTTTTTAAATAGTTATTTATTATATTTTTATTGAATTTGAAAATATAAAGATTACAGATTTCTTTTGTTTTGTATAATAATATAAATTTTCTTTTTTAATATATACTATATATATATTGATTAATTGAATAAATATAATATATAAAAATAAAATAACTTTAAAATTTAGAAAAAAAAACTCTTTCCAAAATGCATCTACATCTGAATAAAATTACCAAAAAAGGAAATAAAAATTTTTTCTTCAAAAAAAACCATAAAGGACCCTGGAGAGTCTTCTTCATCCTCCAAGGGTCAACCTGCTAAACCAACTCATACTCTACTTGATGTTCTCATCACCGATGTTGACAAATGCCTGGCCATAATTTTTCACAAAAACAACAGCACTAACATCATATACACTACCTATTCCACTACCAATACTCACCACCCAAAATTCGAAAACCCTCCTAAAGCATGGCTGACACCAGTATGCCTCCAAGAAAATGGTTACAAAGTCCTCAAAATAATCTCAGTCTCTTTTGAAGTACAAAAAAAAAGACTTGGAAACCACTATACTGAAGTCAAAATCAGTATCTTAAATCCCATGTCACTAGAAATAATGAACTATTTTTTTGAATACTGACATATCTTCTGCTTAACTGACAATAACAAAGAAGAAATCATAAAGGCACTAATCAAACAGAAACTTACCTACAGGCTTCATGTCTCTTGGAACAAAATTGACATCAATATTAATAAAGTAGCCAAAACTTTTTCCTTGGAACGAAAAACTGAAATGCCTACACCCTCTCCAAACACTTTTGCCCTAATTGGGGAAAGAATCAACGACAATAACATGCAACTTGATTGTAAAGATGAAACATCACATATAAGTACCCTTGAACATAATACCAATCAGTTCAGTTCTTACACAGTATTACCTGAACACAGCAGCGATCAACCCAGTTCCTGCGCAACTCCAAATGATGGCCCTATAGTACAACATTATACGTAAGAACATAATATGCTTACCCATCCCCCCACACATAAGCCACTACAACCAGCTACCGCAAACATAGAAATTGATGAGCATCCCTCCCCAAGCCAATCAGTAAAGACCCTTGAATCTCTTTCTATTGACTGGGCAGACGAAACTAACAAACATCTAGATAAAAACCAAACTGAAAAGGATGATACCAACTGCACTTCTAATATAAGAAATGCTCCATTCAATGAACAGGAAAAGATTCTGCAACTATGTGAGAAACTCAACAAATGTGAAAGAACAGTCAAATCTGTAATCAATTTCTTCTTAAAAACCAAAAACAAACCAGTAGGCATCCCAAGAACTTTTCTCAAAGGAATTTTCTCAAAAATTAAGTACAGAGACTACGATTTCTTCAGAACATTCGCAAAGGACGAGTTAATCAAAAGCCAACATCAAAAGAAGTATAAGAAAATTAAGAGACAATTTTACTCAAATTACTGCCAAACCAATAATTTGGGATACATCACCAGAACTATACACAACAAAATTAGAAAAATGATAAACAAGATCCTTTTTGTTGCCTACCTTTGTTCAACAGATCTAGCATTACTTAAGTACTGGCAAGTCGCCCAGCTTCTAGAGTATGGATTTAACTTTTTCATTAATCCCACACTTCAAAAAATCGATTATCAAGAGCTTTACAAAATCTGCAAAGAACTTATCCAAAAAAACTTACCTGAATTACTCACCGACCTGAGTGAAATTCCTGTTGCAATAAAAATCAGACTTCCCAAAACTGTTTCAATTGTTTTAAGCAAGAACACAAGTGAAATTGTCAGCAGCTTGAGAGCCTTCTATAATTTTGATCTTCTCCCCACCACTTATTTTGTCAAAAAACCCAATCTCCCAAACAAATCAACAGATCTCAACTCAGAAGTAGCACATCTCTTTCCATGAGTGGAAAGATACAAGCTTGCAGATCTCAAATTTCGGGTAAACAAACTAAGAGTACACTACTACGTTCCAAGCAAATTGCCAGAATCTTACTTCGATCTTCCTCCATCAAAAGTCCAACTGCCACCATCATTCAAAAAACTATCAATCAACCTTGCAAAACATTTTTCAGTAGATAACACAATAGAGGAATTCAAGAAAGGCGTAAAACTTCTCAGAAATAACAATTACGCAGTAAAACGTCTCCCACTCGATTATATCAAAGTCAAGTGTCCCCTTCCTCCAGTGCACTGGTACAGAAAAAATAATTCTGTCCTTCTCCCTGTTACTACACAAGAAGAGGCAGACAAACTCATCGAAGACCTAAGCCACAAGTTTTATTTAAAACTCCCTCTAGGTCCTGAGTGGATCAAGGATAACCTTACTCAATCTGACAAACCCAAACTCCCAGAAAACCTTGCCACTGTAGAGGCTGACTTGGATATTTCCAGAGAACAACTCAATAGAGATGTATCAGACTTCAAGCAAACAGTTGCAAAAATTAGGAACAAGTACCTAGGTGAAATTCCCAGAGAATAGATCATTCCACTTCTTCCTGACCTTCCAAGTTTAGAAGAGGCAACTAAAACTCTAACCAATCTAAAAGTCAACTTAAACCTTCTATTAGAGGACAATCTTCATCTGAATAACCATATCAAGACACTTAGCAAATATTTCCACTTCGAAAAATTACCAAATAACTTCATAACTGAACCAGAGTTAACTGAGCCAGTGATAACTCTCCTCCCCAATTTAATCTAACAATGAGTACAACCATAAATCAGGCCAACTCCCAACCTTCCTTAGACAACATTATCAATGTAAACTTCCCATCTATTAATGCACCAAACACACCTTAACAACCTTCATCCTCCCAACTAACTCCAAAAATACCAACAAGAAACTTAATCACCATATCCATGCTCAACATCCAGAGCCTTTTCCAAAGAGGCAAACGTAGTAAACTCATCAAAGCAATTACAAATGATAGATGCATTCTTTGTTGCTCCGAGACAAAGGCATCTCTCAGCAACCCTCTTCCAAAGAAAATCAACAATCTCATAATCATCTCAAGCGTACTATCAAACAACATCTGCAACAGGGCCTGTATATTCATAACAAAGTCTATTAGCAATCACATTTTTAGTACATTTGCTCAAAACGAATATTGGTGTGCTATCCATTTCAAATTCAAACCTAAAGTCGACATAATAATAATTTCCTATTATTTGCCACATGAAAAAACAGCAAGGAAGCATACAGTTACTTCGCTAAGGAACTTCATCAGAGAACATCAAAAAAAACATATTATCTTGGCAGGTGACTTCAATACCTATCCACTCAACTCCCCTGCTATTAATGCCCCAACTACACCACACAAACGATCTATTTACAGATACCTTAACAAATTCACTGATATTGCAAGAGCAACAGACAAGGAAAATTATTTCACTTATATAATCAACACAAGTGCCTCCAGAATCGATCAAATCTGGATTACACATGACTTGGCTAGCAAAATTTTAAGTTATAAAGTCATCGAACAAGAAGCTATTTCCACAGATCATATGCAAATAACTACCATCCTGGATTGGTTCAAATATAAACCAGACAGAATTTCATTTTTCACAAATGTCTATCAGTTTAACAAAGCCTCCAAAGAACAAATACTCGCAATGCAAGAGAACATCGAGATCGCTTGCCTTGCCAATCACAATCAGTCATGGGAAAGTCTCAATAACATAATTAAAAAAGCCTTAGATAACAACATTCTCCAAAGAAAACAAACAACCCCTAATCGAAACAAGAATCTGATCAAACATTATACCACAGCAATCAAGTTCACAAAAAAGGTGTTAGGAGCTATAAGAAAACAAAAGTTGCCAATACCGAAACTTTACCGCACAGCATCAAGGATACATAACAGAATCTCTAACTCAGCTCTTTCTCCAAAATCATTGAAAAAGGTTATAAGACTTTTAATCAGTGAAAAGATATTCAAAGCAAATGAAACTATTGTATTTGAGTTACAAAAAGATATTAAGGAAAACTACACCAGATTTTGGAGCAAACCCAAACACATCCTCAAAAAAGCCCTAGGTGATCTAAAACCATCCCTTGACCTCTCGATTCTTTTGGAAGAAAACGAGTTACATGACGACCCTGATAAACTAATCGAAATTATTACAAATTATTTCAAAAAAATCCTTGAACCAAAAATCTTTATTATTGATCAAAATTGGCAAGATGAGTATTCCCCTCTAGGATCAATTCCAGACGATGTATTTAACACAGTCTCCAATGAAATCTCAC